TTTATATCCCCCCCCCCCCCCCCCCCCCCCCCCAGTGAGGGAGTAAAAGTAGGGGACACGGAAACTTCGGTGTCAGGAATGCTGTTTGCGGATGATTTTGTTGGTATGTCGGACACCCCTGAGGGACTGCAACTGCAAATTGACGCGGCGAAGAAGTTTACTGATAAGTGGAGATTGTCTGCCAACGTTACGAAGAGTGCCGTCATGGTATGCAACGAGGGCAGGGAGGAACCAATAGAACATAGATGGAAGTGGGGGATCGAGGAGATTGCAGTAGTGGACCAGTACACATACCTCGGAGTAGAGATCGCAAAAGATTGCTCGTGGAATGCACACATGTCCGAGGTAGCGGAAAAGGGCAAAGCACGAGCAGGGAAGCTGCACCCAATACTCGCAAACCGGCACCTTGATACACGCATCAAACTGACGGTTTTGAAGAGCGTAATCGTACCGCCGCTAGAGTACGCCGGAGAAGTATGGGAAGGAAATAAGAAGGTAGTGAAAGAACTCGAGGCGGCGCAGATGAAAGCAGCGAAAATCATCCTAGGATGCTCCAAGCGCACAAGTAATGCAGCAGTCAGGGCAGAATTGGGGATCCAATCCCTACGGTCGGGAAGAGACGTAAGGAAGCTGACATGGCAGTATCGCATGTGCGGGATGGGAGAGGAGAGGTTGCCGAGAATAGTATGGGAGGCGAAGTGGGCAAACAAAAAGAGGGGTAGACAACCCACGGAATGGGTCAAGGTTGTAGAGGACGTATGGAAGGGATTGGACATCGACGAAGATGAAACGCTGGAAACGGAGGGTCTACAGGGGTTCAAGAAGAAGATATCTGTTGCTTGTGCCGACAGAGAAGAACAGAATCTAAGGAAAGAATCCAAGGATAAGGAGGGTCTAGAAGTGTACGGAATGTTGAAAGAAGGAATAGGGTTCAAGGATTACCTACATGGACCAATGGATGCAGGGACAAAGCTTAAGGTCAAATTCAGGACCGGGGACATAGGCCTTCGCGAACGCCGACGAAGACATAGGACGGTAGACGACGAAGACGACAAGTTCAAATGCGATTGCGGCTTCGAATGCGAAGACAGTGTTCATGTAGTCGCGGAATGTCCGTGGTACGAAAAGGAGAGGGAAGTGTACATGAATGAGCTGGGAAGAATACAAGGGACGTACAGGGAGATGTTTGAGGCATGGAATAGAGAGGAGAGGACGGTAGCGGTACTGGGGAGTAGAAAGTGGTTTGAAAAGGCGGGAAGTGACATCGGTAGGATAGACAAACTAGGGAAGACATTTTTGAGCCACCTTTGGCAAAGTAGGAAGGAACGATTGGCCATCGGTGATCGGTCCTGTGGGAACAATGCTCCGTCCTCTCGAGGACGCGTGGTCAATGGTCTAACCGCTAAGGCATGCAAAGCATAAGAGTACGCCCCCCCCCCCCCCCCCCCGGGGGGGGCCCCCCCGGAATTGAAAAATAACCTGGGATTTCCAGGGGACCTACCGCTGAACCCTGTAACCGGTTATAACCGGTACCCCGTTATCGACATCACTGTTTTTAACCCCTTTGGGTCTAGGCTGCACTGTCAGATTTGTTTTTTTGCGCCAAAAAAAAAAATGAGAGCGAGAGCGAGCGGGAGAGAGAGAAGTGCAGAGAAAGACACCAGTGTACTTCTGCACACGCAACAGCTATCTCCACCTGTAGGCCATGAGAGAAGCCGGCGACAGGTGGTGGCCACAGACAGGGTCGTAGAAAGGTTGATGGGTGGTCGCGCTGCGGTCAGTAGGGCAGGTTAGCTGTGTAGACTTTGAAATGATCAGTCGTCTAGCTGCCTCAACTAGTCTATTTTCGGTATATTGTAAATGATCAGTCCAGAAAGGGCAAAATGATCAGTGAAGACCCATAGCTGGTATTTGTACTTCTGTACTTCTCTGTTCTCTGTCCCCCCCCCGAAATGTGCCCTGCCAGCTCTCTAGAGCTCCTGTGTTTTTCAAACAACAAGCACATCCACCAGCACACACCTGTACCTCGTGGTTTCCTAGGTTCGGGCGAGGGTGGTATGTGTGGCGGTACGAGTGTGGATGTGTTGCTGATATGTTTTACTCGTCTACAGCAATAGTAGTAGTGTCGTTGTAGCGTTCGTTGTAGCTGCTGACACAATGACTGCTGGATCTTGGGAACGATTTTCGAATTGTTGGGAACCAACCATGATATCCTCGATATCTGGGCTTCGGCAGGGATTGCGATACCCCTCCCTTTTGCTGCCCTCTGCTCTTTGCAGCAGTGGTTTCCTATACGTTCGGGCGAGTGTATGTGTGGTGCTGCGAAAGAACACGTATGTATGTTTGTATGTATGCACACACGCGTTCATGTGCATACGTTGAGAGATCCATGATTTGGCATTGATTGGCCCCATTCCCATTCCCGAGACCTTGATATTACCCGCTGTCACTGACGTCTCTTCATTGGTCAGCCGGTTAGCGCGGGTGCTAATAATCTAGACACACCTACCTATGGACTTGCCAATACACGGCGCGAAGGGCTGCAGGGCGGCAACTCCACGACTTGCCACTACACCAGCATTTGCAAATGATCAATCAATGATCAGTGAGAACGCCTGAAGACTCAAAAGGGTTAATGTGAAGACAACAACAACAACAACAACAACGTACGTTGTAGACCACGGATAAGCATGCTCAAAAATGCTCGCCGTTGGTGGCAGCGGGATGCTAGCATACAAAAACCAACATAAGTTGTAGGGTCGGTCTTCGAAATAAAAGCGTACTAGTAATTTACGTGTGTCTCGGGAGATTCCAAATATCCGTGTTGACGCCGCCGTGATGAGCAATATGACCTGGTTGCTTTGGACACTTCTGCTGTTGTGTAGAACTGCTGTGTTTTGAGAATGTCTTGCCCTGTCCACCTCTTGTGAGGTTTAGGATTTTTTTTCAAGAGGGTTAGGGTTGCTAACCATGTCCTGATAATCTTGCACACTCAAATGCTGTCTGGCGCAGGCCCGTTCCGGCGACTTGCCACCGACTGCTCCGCGTGCGGGTGGAACTTCGTCGGCAACGCCAGCGTTCTCCCGACATGAATCAGCGACAGCGGCAGGCGAGGGCTCGGCTCAAGAGAAGGCAGGAACATCTGGGCCCAAGACCGGCACAAAGGCGGGTGTCGGGGCAGATGTGTAGTTGAAGGTGTGTGCGTAGCTCAACGAGAAGGACATATATGGATGTCCCGGCTGTGGGGCGTCCTCCGTCGCTTTCCTATCGCCGCCGTGGTGTTGTGTATCCTGTTCGTTACCCCTCTGGAGGTCATGTTTTTTTTTTTTTTGTGGAAGTTGTTCAAATGTCAAGTAGTTGACTGCCCTGATTTTTTACCCATGGGTTGAGATTGCTCATTGGATTCGAGCGCGAAGTTCCGGTGAGTCGTTGTGTCGGACCCACCATGACGCGTCGCTTCCGCTTGCGTGCCTGCCGCCTTCCTTGTCCTTCTACCTCATATCATGAACCTCTTCCAGAAGCACCCAAGCACGGGCCTCAAAATCGGTGAGGCCCGTGCTGACGGAGTCCACCTGGGCGTTGAAATCCTCAACGCTGTCCCGGCCTGCCGGAGGTCAGTACCTAGCCCCCCCCCTCCCCCCCCCCGCGTCCGTGTGCGTAGGTCCTTGTTGCCAACCCTTGAATCCGGATTATGAGGCGTATGTGTGGGTGGCTTTGGCTTCCACGTATATAGGCTAGCGTAGGTGTCACCATTGGATGGTAGGGGTCACCATTGGATGTTGTTGCTTTCACAGAGAGTCGGTCATGTGAAGTCGATTATCGGCTGTTGCTGTTGAACTACACCTTGGGTGTTTTCATCGCGACTTAGCAAGGTCTATGTCTCACAAGGTGTGTGCTACCTCGACGAACGTAGACGGGCGTTTTCTCACATAGTGCCCCCTTCCTTCTGGTCCGCACTATGCCTCGCAAGGACCCTGCGTTCAAGGGATTTAGCGACAGGTCGTTTATGATGTGGAAGCGCCATATCCTCATCCCCTTCGAGGCCAACCTGAAGCTAAACGGAAATTACCAGGGAGACTCCACGGTTGTCCTTGACCCCGGGAGCTTCGTCGCAATCCAGAAGTATGTGGGCAGCCAGAAACAACAGTACTCGGCGGCGCAGAAAAAGAATCACCACGGTACGGGGTCTGCTGCTCCGGCCAAGGAGGCGACAAAGCCGTTAGTCATCGCGCGGGCGAAGGTCTGGTCGGACAACAAGTCGTGCCACTAGCCGCCGTCGACGCTAGAGGCTAGCGGGGGGCCTCTACACTCCGAGCTGTCCCCGCCTAGCACCCGGCACGCCGCCAGGGACGGTGAGGGGGGAGGGGGGGGCGAGGATGGCGGCTCCCCACCACCGGACTTCGGGGGGGGCGAGAATGACGGTGCGCTTGAGCTTGACGATGATGAAGCCGAAAAAGGATTCAGTCAAGGGACGCCCCCAGCTGGGACCATGGGCGGGGGCGGAGCGTCTAAAGGCAAGGGGAAAGGAAAGGCGGGAGGAGGACAAGCCAGCGGCAACGGGAGAGATGGCGGCGGCACCCCGCGTCGGGACAGGGGACGGGGGGGGGAGCTGCCGAAGTTGACGGCGTCGACCATGCAGGCTTTCGCTCGGGGTAGCGGGTCCGAAGATATTGCGGGGTACACCAACCGGTCTGCCAGCGCGATTGAGTCGGTCGCGAGCGCGTTGCTGGGGGGTGGCGGGGCTGCAGCCGGGGTTGCAGCCGGGTCTTGGGGCCGGGCTTCAGCCGGGGCGTCTGAGGAAGAGCGCAAGTGGCGAAAGGAACGCGAACTCCTCGGTCTGACGGTCGACTACCAAAACAATAACAAGGACCGTAACATCCACGGACTGATTCAGAAGACGTTCAGGAAACTCGTATGCCTCAGCGACGACGACGAGGGTGGGGACGCCGACGACGCGTAGATCTCGCGCCTCTTTTATATACTCGAGTATGTGTTTCGGCCTTTTCATTTTTTCTTCGGGTTTTGAGTGCGACGCGTTTTTTTTTTTTTCTCATTTTTTTGCGGGGGGTGGGGGGATAAGTACTTCTCGCTCTGCTGTTGTCATGCAGACGTGTTTGGGTTAGTTAAAGAATGGGGTGTGGTGTCGCATGTCGAAGGTGTTGAGGTTAGGGGGGGTTAGGACAAGGGTTTGGCGGCCGAGGTGTTTGTCTCAACTCGGGTCCGCGTCTTGCGGCGCTTCCGTCTCAACTGGGTCGTTTTGACTTTCGTTCGTGTCTCTTTCCATGACCGTTTCCCTTCGCACGCGTTTAGAGGGCATTTCTTGGTTAGTTTCCCCTGCAGTTTGTTCGGGTAATTGACGTATCTGGGTAAAGTGTGTCCTTGTTGTGGTCAGGAGAGAGGGGGGCGGTGGTTGATTTCTTCTAGCTTGATATGGTGAGTCGCTCGTATCGCGCATCTTTTTCGTCTCTGGTGTGTTCCGTTGAGGTCATATTTCCTGCGCTTCTTCCATAAGTTCGTCCTCTATTCCTGAGTTTTCGGGTCTGTTTTTGTCGTGTTTTTTCCCCTTAACCTGCGTAGTCGCACAGGCGTTTTGAACTTCTGCGAATTGCCGCGCTTCTGTTTCGTTTCTATGCGTCGGTCGTTCCTTCCTCCTGTTCGTATCTCTCTTCATGAGTCTCCGCTTTCGCTTTTTCATGGGGGGAGAGGGAAAGAGTATCTCCGTTGTTTTCGCTTTAGTTTTTGTAGTGTTTTTTTTTTTACAAAGTGCGTTCTTGTCGTGGTGAGGACAAGTTAGGGGGGGTGGGGTGGGGGGGGGTAGGGGTGCGGAAGTCCTTCTCTCTCAATTTGGCGAGTCGCTCAGGGGTCGAGGTTCGATGCTCAACGACACGCGTGTTGGACCCGACATAGAGTCCGGGCATAGCCGCGTTTCTTCCTCGTTTCATAGACTGAAATGCTAGCTTATATGCGTCGATGGGATGCCGAAAGCCGTAACGCCAACGTTTCAGTGGGATTCTGATTGCAAGGTTAGGTTGAAACTCTATTGTCTTATATTCCAGTGGGAATATGACTGAGGATTTCCTGAACTGAGTTGGCGCTCATGCGTACTGATGTATTGGAGGTTGGGTTTGACGTGTCCTGGCTGTTCAGGGTAGGCGTCTAATGTGCTTTCCGAACATCGACCTCGCTGGTCAAGAAGTTGGAACCAGATTGCTTTTTTATTTAACATTTCGTTCTGATGTACTCATCATTTTACCGGGGTTGACCGTCGCGACGATCGAGATACAGTTCTGATGAAGCGTTGAGTTTAATGTTTGTTATTTTTTCGAGGTGAATTCTGTTGTTTTGGCAGCTTGAGATTTTATCAAGAGGAGTTAATAACATGGGTTTGGACTGGTGTTTGGTATGTAGGGGCTTTTTTTTGTTGCCATTTGAACGGTCCTAACGGTAAATTTGGCTTTAGCGGTATCTTCGCAGAACAGGGTGTGTGAGGTGCGCAGTTGGTACAAGTGTCATGTGCATGTCACAGGGGTTCGAGCACCCTGTTGTCGCTCTGCTAGGTGAACGTACAAGTCAAGTTTGTCGCAAGAGGCGCCTCCGGCAATAGTCCGAAGCGTGTTGGGGTAGGTCACGCCAACGAAATGCAATATTTTCGTCTACCGCGGAAGTGTTCTCGGACGCAAGGCAAGACAACAAGAGGAGTCCCTCTCTCCCTCGTGGGATTTGCCATTGCCCGTTGCCGGTGACGTGTGGACTGCCGTCACGGCGGTAAAAAATTTAAATTATCAGCTTTGTTAAAGCTAAAAAAATCATGTCTACAATAGGAGGTTCCTTGTCACCGTCGACTTTCATTTTTGTCGTAACCAGCGAGGAGCATTGTTTGCACGCACTTGGATGGGCAACTCCCCGCTCCCGCCCGCTACCGTATCCAAGGGACAATAAAACACACACACCCTCCCCCCTCCATTGGACACGTCCCCCGGCATGCTACGGGAGCAAGCTTCCGCCCCGGGCTCCTCTAGCGACCTTACGCTACAACAAGAAATAAATGTGTTACACTTCGCATGGACTGGACGGGTGAACCTCCTGTAAAACCAGCACGTGTTTGCGGTGGGGTCCTGAAATTTCGTCCTGTGGGGAAATTTGAAACTGACAACCTGCTACACCCCACATGAGAATCGAACAAGTACACGAGACGCAATTTATGACAACCGTCGAATGTACACGGCAGAATTACTCGGCCGAAAGCATGCGACCCAGTATGCACGGGTGTTGGGCTTACCTACAAAGTCTCTTAGTCAGCCCTCGGGTTTAGACGCTACAATTGGGTATCGCTTTCCCCGTAGCACCGGCAAGGGTCGATCAAGGGCTGGTCTAGCGACCCACCAGGGGCAATCGAGCGACACGCATCAGCACACTACTTCCTTTCGGGGTTTCAGTTTCAGGGCACTCCGCCCCCTGCTTGCCTTAACTTCGCCATCTCAGCTTGTTGTTTTTTCACATTAGCTCTAAAATAGCTAACATCCATGGAGCCCTTCGTAATAAAACCCGGCACACGCGACGCGCGTAAGAAACGACACGAAAATAACATTGTACAATCGCTCGAAAATTGTGCTATTCGCGCGAGATAAACATGGAAAGATAACTAGGAGGACCAAAACGCTCCTAACCCACACTCCTACTTCGTTCAGTGCGTTGGGGGAGGGGAGGTAAATGAATACTACGAACAGGAAACTATTTGCGTGCCGGGCCTCAGAGCAAACGGGGCAAAGGGGCAGCCAAGGCAAATGGCCGAAAATGGAGTATGGCAAAAAGGAGCCAACAACAGGACCATTGGAGCTACAGCAGGCGCGAAAAGCACGACGGAGAACAGACTGAAATAGCACAGGGTCTACAATATCTCCACGTCTAACTGCGGACCCCTGCTAGGGTCGAATACCATCACAGCCGAGAGAAGGCAACACGCTCTCTACAACAAAGCGGTATCTAATTTACACTACGGGTAGAGTGGCCGTGTCGAGGTCGGGCCCAGTCTCTTCTTCGCTGCCTCCCCCGTCATCATCCGCTGTCTGCGCACGGTAGCTAGCCTCCGCCGCCAGGCGAGCTTGGTCGAGCGCGGAACCCTCCGCCCCCAACGTCGCCTCCATGTAGTTGTCTGCGAGGTATTTCGCCTCGCGGTCCCGGGCCGCCGCCGATGCCTGCTCAGCCGCTACGCTCGACCACGGGCCACGCGCGCGCTTGGTTCTCAGGGCGTCGACGAAGACCTCGTCCCTCCCCAAGCCCTCGTGGAACAGGATGGAGTTATACAGGAGAACGCACGCCTGGATGACCTGCGGAACCTTGTCGATGTTGAAGTACATGCGGTTCTTCAGGACCATGACTTTCCACTGGTGGCGGGAGCGACAACGAAAGACGCAAAGAGACACGAGAGCAAATCAAAGCAAGGCAGAGAGTACTCTGGATGGTGGTACCGTCATACCCTTTGAGGCCATCCCGGGGGGAAACATACAAGACATTGTTGAAAACAAAACCCGCGGGGTGAATGCTACGGTGCGAGATTCTATGTTTTTTTGGCTGCAAGGATACGGGGCAAAGTATCCCATGCAGCGAAGTCTCTATTCTCACACACTCCTACACTCCCCAGCCCAGCTGTCGTGAAGGGCGGGCCTCTACGGCACCAACAACAGGCAGTGCCTCGTCAACGGCACGGAACCACAACGCAACGGCGACGTAAACAGCATGTACACGTGGATGCGCTCGGAGCCCATGGAGTTATTCGTACGAATAAAGGCTCCGAGAAAACTCGAACGGACAGTCGCAAAAAAAAACGGCAACAACAGCAAACAACAGGCAACAAACCAGATACATACGGCCGTGGCTATCCCAGTGTTGTTTTCGATGTAACCGCGTTATTTTTTTTTTCACATGGGGGGTGGGGGGGGGGTGTACTTATAGTCGTGCATGCCGTAGTCGTTAGACCATGGACCTCGCATCCCTACAAAGCCGGGACGGAGCACGCCGGGTTCTCACCGGACCAGGCTCTCACATCCCCAAGCGCGAAGCGCCGTGAGGTATTCGGCGAGTCGCACGAAGGGTGCGCTGCATCCTGCTAAGGGTGTTCGGCATCTTGTGCTTACTTCCTTGCTTACGATGACAGCTGCGTATGACTTAATATATTTTCTGGTGCTTTCACTTCCAGAGACAGTTGTAAGCGCTGTGTAACTGCCTCGAGGGTGCTTGACCATTTTAACACAACGTGCGATTATCCCATTTGCGCGGAGTGAGGGTTCTTGACCCCGCACAACATAATCTACTCGACCACCATTCATGGTTACCGCCAAAAAAAAAAACCAAAGGTAAAAACAAATCGGTACCCTGGTTGCCGAGCTCCCGAAGTGATCGGCGTATTTTACAACATCGCTGCCAAGCGACCAAACCCCAACCCCCACGGCAAACACTAGGGGGGGCGGCCTGTTTTACAACGTCGTTGCCAAGCGACGAAAACCCAACCCCGATGGCAAACATCGTTGCTCTACGGGGGGGGGTGTACTCATAGCCGTGCATGCCGTAGTCGTTTGACCATTGACCTCGCATCCCTACAAAGCCGGGACGGAGCACGCCGGGTTCTCACCGGACCAGGCTCTCACATCACCAAGCGCGAAGCGCCGTGAGGTATTCGGCGAGTCTCACGAAGGGTGCGCTGCATCCTGCTAAGGGTGTTCGGCATCTTGTGCTTACTTCCTTGCTTACGGATGACAGCTGCGTATGACTTAATATATTTTCTGGTGCTTTCACTTCCAGAGACAGTTGTAAGCGCTGTGTAACTGCCTCGAGGGTGCTTGACCAATTTGACACAACGTGCGATTATCCCATTTGCGCGGAGTGAGGTTTCTTGACCCCGCACAACATAATCTACTCGACCACCATTCATGGTTACCGCCAAAAAAAAAAACCAAAGGTAAA